TCTGTCTAGCCTAAGAATATGGGACAAAGAGTAGCTATTATGTTCCCACCCACTCCCCCTGTCATGTAGCCATCCCACTGACCATGAATCTAGAGGTTTTTAGGCATTGGATCCCTTTGGACAGCTGCAGCTGGTTCCTGAAAATTCCTCAAGTATGCAGCCTCATCTGTCCTAATCAATTTGGATAATTTTTCTTTACCACTTTCTTACCACAATTTTTTATTGTTTATTTATTTATATTTGTATTAGGGATTGAACCCAGAGGTGCTTAACCACTGAGCCATGTCCCCAGCCTTTTTTACTTTTTATTTGGAGACAGGGTCTTGCTAAATTGTTTAGGGCCTAAGTTGCTGAATCTGCCCTTGAATTTGCAATCTTCCTGCCTCAGCCTCCTGAGCCACTGGTATTATAGATTCCTATCCAATATTTAAGTTTTATAAAAATCAGTGGTCAATCTGTAGTCTAAGACAGAAGTAAGACTTGGCTATAAACAAGGTGACTTATTTATTATTTAATATTTCAAAATCAGGAGAAGTTTCTCTTTATTAAAGAAAATCTGAGAACAGAGCAAGGCACAAAGAAGAAAATATAATTTAAGAGTAATTCTATTATAAGACATATTCAATGAACTGTTATATGCCTCGGACTCCAAAATGTAATATTTTAAAATAGATATGTTGAGTGTCCTGGTAAAATTCAACATATTTTAAACTTTAAAATGTAAAAACATTAACTTACTATAAAATCACATATATTTGAAATTTCCAAGTTCATTCTTGACAATAAAATGATACATTGATGTATGTTAACTTCTCTACTTTTTAATATTTCTTTTGAAATCAAAGTTATTAATATATCTTAATTGTACAAATTAATGGGCACATTTCCTTTATATATATATATATATATATATATATATATATATATATTCTCTATTTTAGAAAGGGATCTTATAATAGAGGCATATACAAATTGTGTGCTTAGTGTAAGGAACTGCATCACTTTTATTCCATTCAATGTACTTCAACAAATATTTACTCACTACTTTCTAATAGTACTTTCTTATATTTGTGCATAGTATCACAGTTTACAAGAGTCTTATTTGCTCTTCTGAATGCCCTTTTGAGGGAAGCAATGTTATCCTCATTGGCTGGACAAAAAGAATGAGAGGTTAGGTAACTTGTTTAAGGCTACCTAGCTAATTTGGTATAAGAGTTAGAGGTTTGTACACCAAGTCTAGTTTTCATTCTACTACTGTGGTAGGGAAAAGAGAAATAATCTGTGTTCCTAGGCCTCCTTAGACTTACAATGTAGTTAATGAAGCAAGCCCCAAACCATTAGATATCCAGTTAAGAAAACATTTAAACTGGGGCTGGGGATGTGGCTCAAGCGGTAGCACACTTGCCTGGCATGCATGCGGCCCGGGTTCCATCCTCAGCACCACATACAGACAAAGATGTTGTGTCCTCCAAATACTAAAAAATAAATATTAAAATTCTCTCTCTCTCTCCCTCTCTCTCATTCTCTCTCACTCTTTCTTTAAAAAAAAAAAAAGAAAACATTTAAACTAACAGAGGTAAAAATGGCTATGCTCATTAGACCCTATGCTGTTCCATTAAGCCAGTGTCCACCACTTCTCCAGGTAACCTACTTGGTCTTCTTCAGGCATGTATGGGCCCTGCCTAGACCTCAAAGGCTGTGAAAGAAAAGAGACCTCTTAATGCAAAATGAGAAGGGATTTTGGCTGAGTTCTGGTCCTGGGAGTTCTAGAACATAGGTAAGCAGAAGATGTGCATTCCACCTGTGGTGGAGTCTTTTCACTGACAGTAAGAAGTACATCTTAATTGTCTTTCCTCTGGCTTAAAAATGTGTTTTACATATTTAATCATTCATTCATGTTTAAATTAAATAGGTATCATGGAGAACCCAGCATATACCCTAGGGCACCCTGCTAGCCCTAAAGGGAGACAAGATAAATAAACTATGCTTTATCCCCTTAAGGAGCTCCATTTCCACATTCTTCTTCAGGTTACTTGGGCAAACAGATTTCAAGTGCAGCATGTTAGATAACAGTCCACACTTTCAACCCAGACACAACTTAGGCAGCTCTGACAAGGTATAGCCAAGAGTTTTTTAAAATCTTTTTTTGAAATCAATCTTTTGAAGACAAATCTCTCTCCTAGGACAAGGACTTAAAGGCTATAATGCCCAACATAGAATGCATAAAATAATTCACATGGAATACAGGAAGAAAATATTGTTTCTTTTACTGTTTCTCTTACTGGAAATATGTCATGTAAAATATGTTAGTACAACAGTATATACATATACATTTTATGAATAAATATATATATTTATTATGCTGGGTACCCAATAATATTTTATTGATGAGGTAGGCATCAGAACTTAAGTTTTACTGTTCTAAAACTATAGTTACACTCCCTCTCTTTTCTAAACAGTGTGTTGAAAAACTCATTGGGGTAGCTTTACAAAGTCATTAAGATTGAATTTGGCCCACTGGCTGGGAAGAGAATTATATAAGGATTCTAGAATGGTAGTATTCTAAGAAGGCCCATAGATTGTGCCCAATCTAACACAGAAGAATTCTTCTTATCTTAGTATGTCCCTCTTTTTCTGTCAGGATCCAGAGTTTTAAGAGTTTACTTTGCGGGGGAGTAGGGGGGACTTGGAGAATCAATCTTTTTTTTATTTTGTTGCTGGAGCTCTTTTCCCAAGTTACCACTTAGCTATTTTCCCAAGTGAGTGCCATACTTCATCATCACCTCCTTTATCCTTGCTTCTCTTCTAGCTGGAGTTGGAGGAACAACACTTGGAGTTCTAAATTCCCATCTCTCTGCCAGATATTCAAATTTGGCTGTAGATGCACTGAAGACTCCCTCACAGGTCAGTTGCTGAGTGCATTCTGCCAACTTTACTGACAAGTGTAGGTTTTCCTCCACCTGTGCATTGGACACTCTGCCTACTTTCTTGCCCAGGAATCTGTCTTCCTCACATAGCTGATTTCTGGATTGAACATTATTTTTAGCTTTCATCTGAAGTGTTAAATTTTCTTTTTCTCTATTCTGTCTCTGTCTGCACCTCTGTGGAATCATCATTGACAGCTTCTGCAAAATATAGGTAGTGCTTCACTAAAGAAACACTAACCTATGATAATTCAAAAGGTACTTAGGTACAGAAAGTAGGTTGTGATTATTTGAACTGCAAAAAGAATTTTAAAGACAGATTTTTAAAGACATCTTCTTGATGTATGCACATTCAGCGACCCAGACTGGTGAAACTCTTGCACCTTTTAAAAATGTGCCTAAAAAGGTTCACAGAAATCTCAATTGTGTTTGATTGTTCTGGAAAACCTTCTGCTGTGTAATGTTTTTACTTGAAGTATCCCTGTCCTCCAGTTCAGGCCTTCACTGAAGTCCTTGTTCGGATTGCCTATATTTTGAGATGGAATTTGAGAAAACTGCCTTATCTACACAGCAGATAAACCAGGTGAACCTTCTCCTGGCTTTAGGGTGTTAATAATGTTGAAACGCTCATAAAAAACCAGGACCTCCTAGGGACAGAGCCAGATTGGCAGAGTAGTTTTTGGGTAAGTTATTCTGGGAGATGTTTTCTTCCAAAGCCAAGGGTTAGTGGCATATTAATAATGCATATAATTAATTAGCTAGGGAAGGCTAACTGCTGTAAGAAATAGACCCTCTGATGTTAATTGGCTTAAACACAATAGAACCATACTTCTTGCTCAAATGACAGATTTGGGCAATATGAAGAATGGCAGGGTGGCTTTCCATGAGGCAATCATCCAGAATGGTGATCCTCGACCTCTTCAACTCATTGCTTTCACAATTGGTCCAAGAAGCAGCTCCATTCCAGCCATCTAGAATGCAGCTAAAACATGGGGAAATGTGCATGGCCACGTAGACTGGAGCAACCCTCACTCTGCTAGAACTCAATTACACAACCATGCTGAATTTGGAGGGAGACTGGGAAAGAGGCTGGGTGCACCCTGAAGACTAAAAGGAGAGTATGGTACCAGTCTCTGCCTTGGCATACTTATCCTTTTGTTCATGGAAAAATTAATCTCAAAGTGCCTATTTACCAACCAGTAAGAATGGACTACACATTCAGAGTTAGCTTGAGATCCTGTTCTCAGTTGGACAGGTGGCCTATCATTTTATAGAGGACTACAAACCTTTTCTAATGTAGTTAAATGGCACAGAGTGTATCTGGGTGTTTCACCAAAAGTTTAAAGGTGATCAGTCAGTTTCTACTGGAGGAACAAGAAGAGGTGACTCCTCTGGAACTGGACACTCTAGTGCAGCCTACCTCCTCACTAGAGCCTGTGACCTAGCTCTCCTGGGTATCTGCAAAGCCAGTGTGTATTGCCTTCTTGATCAAGGAAATTTGGTTTTATCTTTACAAATAGAAATAATTCTTCAGCTGAAATTGCCTACTTGTTATCTAGAAAAGCAGGAGGAATCCCTTAGCAGGAAAGTGTCCTGGCAACCCTGCCTCAAATAGGGGCCAATAGATGGTCTGGGCAAATGCAGGGAGATTTTCATCTTTTGGAGAAACTAATATATAGGGCATCAGCTGAGTTTCCATTTCAGTGCAACTTAAGCCTGAGTGATAAAGGCAGCATGTTCTGCGAACCTTATATTATATAACCTTCATGTGATTCAGGGCTGCTATTTATAGCTTTCCATTGTGTGGGGCTCTGCACTGGGATGCAGCCTCCTCCTCCAGTGTCCCAGGAGGAGGTCAAAATGACTGTATTTATACCATGCTTATACCTAGCTCAGGTCTTTCAAAAGTGTTGTTTTATTTTCTGTACTAAGTTTTGGCTTCTACCTTACCCTAAAGTTCAGTTGTTCATTCAGTTATTCATCCATCTCTCCATTTAACAAATATTTGATGACTGCCTACTAGGTATGGAGGATACAAAAATAGAGAAAGACACTTCTGGAGTGTAGGTGGAGAGATTGAAAAATATTTATTCGTAGTCTCCATCTTGGACAAATTAAGACAGTGTTTGGGTGGTGAGTTTAGGGCACAGGTATAGCTTTAAATCTCCAAGAGACTGCAATGCACAGCCAAGACTGAAAATCCCTAGAATTTCTAGGCCCTGAAGCCAAGAGAATGTATAAAATCTAATATTACAAAGAGGAGGACTAGGAAGAGAATCAAATAAAGGGAATTCTAAGCAGACGTTGAAGAACAGTAGAGAGAAAATTGGGAAGTTGATGCAGAGGAAGGAAAATAACTTTGGGGTCATATCAATCTGTGATGGAATTTCAGCTTTTGAACTTTGTAGCTTTGGGTAATTCTGGAAAAGTCATTTACCCTTTTTAAGACTTTGCTTCCTCTTTGTAAATGAAGATAGTAAGAATCTTCACACCCAGGGATTGCTGTGTACCAGTGGTTTTTGTTATTATCTGTAGTTGAGAAGGAGAGATCAAGGACAAGCAATTAAAATTTAAAAATAAAATTTAAAGATAAGTATGGATCCCAAGAGATTTTCTCTTGCTTCTAAAATTGGGGTGAAGAGCATTATTTTTATCTTCAAACTAATACAAATATGTTGTTAACTAGAATGTGACATTTTATCAATTAAGATAAAAATGAAACCACATGTTTTCAAAAGGCCCATTTTGGGGGATGACATGGTAGATAGAGAGTGCATGGGCCTTTCTGGGGTATCTTTCACTTTCCTCTGGCAGTCACTTTCTTCTCTAGCACGTAGAAGTGGAATGTCCCAGCATTCTGAGTGAGTTAGAGCAACAGATAATGTGTGGTTGGGATGTCCAGGTATCATTCTTTCTGGATATTTAACTAAGCACTGTTAGCACAGTTTTCTGGTGATTCACTATGCCCATAAGCAGATACATATATTTACTGTATTCCTTTTTTTTTTTCCATTTGTAGTGTGCTGGTTTAAGCAGTACTTTTTACTTTGACAATATATCTTGGAGATTATATACATCAACCCATAAAGAGCTTTCTTCATTTTTTTTATAGCTTCACAGTATTCTTTTATGTGGATATACTATAATTTATTTAAATTATAAATATCTGTTAGTGGATATTTGGAATGTTTCAGTCTTTTGCTATTTCAAACATTGCTGAAATGAATGACTGTGCACATGTGGCATTTTGCACAAATGAGCATCTTTTACGCATAAATTCCTGGAAGTGGAATATTTGGGTCAAAGGTACCTACATTTGTAGAATGCCCTTCACAGAGATTTCCACTGTGTGGAGCTTTAGACAAATTCCCATTTATACCAGCAAAGTAGTTTGCCTGCTTTCCCAAGCCCTCACTAACACTGTCTGCTACTGAAGTTTATTTCTGCCAGTTTGCCAGGTACAAAATGAAACTTCCAGAGAGTGTACCTCTTCAGTTGTCAGAGGCCTTGAGCCCTTTTCACAATTAGGACTCATGTAGGTTTTCTTTGCTGAGAAGAATTGGTTCATATCTTTTGTCTATTTTCCAATTAAATCATTGTTCATTGCTGATTTTAAGAATTCTTTATATACTTAGGAAAAGTAAAACTGAGTCTATTACAAATACATTTTTCCTTTCAGTTCTCTTTTCTTTTGATTTTTCTGGAGAATTTTATGGCTTCTGTATTTTGTGTCTGTCATATATAGAAAGACATTCTCCACTCATATTTTCTCACAATTTTCTATACCACATGATATTATCCCCCTCTTGATTTTGTCACAGTGTAAGGTATGAGATATTATTAGATGGCTATCCAATCACCCAAAGCCTTTAATTGAATAATTTATCTTTATTGATTTAAGATGCTATTCTTTAACATACATTAACTCTAACATATACTAAATTTCCATATGCCCTTGGGCCTATTTTTTGTCTTTCTATTCTTTCCATTGACCTGTCTGTTCAATTATTAGCACTTACACATTTTAAATTGCTATTGCTTTATAATAAGTTTTAATTTCTGGTTTATAAAAGATCTGGAAAGTATTCTTTTTCATAATTTTCTTGGCTACTCTTATTAATTTTTCTATACAAATTTTATTATCAACTAATTTAGTTTAAAAAGCTAGTATTTTATGGGAATCATATTACACTTACTGATTAACAAAGGGAACTGACAACTTTATGTGTATTGTAACCTTCATAGCAAGTGCACCTGCCCTATGGTTAATCTGTTCACATCAGATACAATGCTATTCTGCCCCAGAGGTCAAGAGAGTGAGGAGGAAGAGAGGTAACTAGAAAAGTTTAACCCAACAATACATCTTCCTAAGGTGTAGAGCAGATAACCTCTCCCTTTCATGGAAACACCAGGAGAACAATGGGTAAAAGGCCCTACCACTGATGAGAAATGCAGAGGGCACCTGGCAGGGATATTCCTCCCTATAATGTGTTTACTGATTCTTTAAAATAATCTTAAAGGTCTTATAATTCTGCAGATTTGAGTCACTAAAAGTGTGTGGAGTATTTCACCTGCTGAAAGAACAGGGAGAGGCAGGTGTAATATAAAAAGTGTGAACTTTAGAGCCCCCATGGTACTCAGGTCAGATCCAGTTCTACCAGCTGTGATCTGGGGCAATTAATTTTTCCAATTTTCACCTTTCTTGCCTTTATAATTTCTTTGTAAAATTGTCAGGATTAGAATTAAGATTATATTAATATATATGTATATTAATATTTCAAGATTAAAGCATAGCACCTGACATGTATAAGCTACCGTATACATAGTTAATTGTAGATTTTGTACCAAAGACAAAACTGAGTAATTTCAGTGTCTCCCTAGGCAAAGGCATTGGCAAACCTCTGCTGCAGTGCCCCTCACCTCCCAGACAACCCTCCTTCTCACTTCAGCTCCACAGAAGAGGCAGGACAGGCCTTTATGTTTCTGGAATTCCAAGCATTCCAACTCACCCAGGATGACTTAGCTCCTGTTCTGGGATTCACTCAGGTTCTCCATCTCCATATCTTCCTACTCTCATCCTGAAATGGAAATATTTTATATAAAACAAACAAAATTGATCCTTTAAAAAATGCTGAGAATTTTTTCTGACCATGATTTTAATATATGCTTAGTTCATAAAAAATGAAAACCAGAGAAAAACATTAGAAAATAAATATTATTTACAATGCCATGAAAAAGAAAATATTTATTAGTATGAATATTTCTTTCTGGGAATATTTCTGGGTCTACATTCTCCTCCACATGAACCTTGATATTGATATTTACAATCATACTTGTGAGACTATCTATACACACAGATATTCATATTGTTATATATATGTTTTATGCATGTGTGTAGTGGGCCTTGTACATGCTAGGCAACATTGTTACATATATAGAATCATACTGTATATATAATTTGGTGTCTTGCTCTTTTAATATCACATTGTATCTTTCTTCTATGTTATATAAAATTTCTGGTAAGCATAATTTTTGATTGCTGCATAATATTTTATACATATTTCTTTTCAAAGCAACAATGATGCAAGCAGAGAGGAGATAAAGACTGGAGGGTTATTATTTATACATTTCTACTTAAATATTAAAGAAGTGAAGTAAATAAACCATCTATTAATTTTTGAAGGATTATATTATGAAAAAAAGCTAAATTTTCTGTCACTTTTTAGGGAAAAGATTTGAATAGTTTTCAGAGTTATCACTGAATAACTTGAACAACACTGATTTTACAAGGAGTCCCAACAAAAGCCAAGAGCAAGAGTTATGGCCCTCCTTTTGTTTCCAGACACGGTGTGTTTATCCTTTTTCCATGAGGGGAAAAGTTGAATATTTTACAAAAGCAAAACAACCTGGAAATCAAAAGCAATTTGGTGCAAATGGCAAGTAAGAAGCAAATAAAGTAAATCAAGAAATGCTGTGGGAGAATGAACTGGGTCACTTATCCCACTGAAGACTTTTTGCTGTGTCTCTGGTCATTGACCACAAGATGTCACTATGGCATCTGTAATCCTAATACACAGCTTGGCTGGGGGTGGGGAAAGAACAGGGAAAGAAATTTTACAGTTCTATGCAAAATGGAATAGTATTCCCCCCAACCCACCCCCGCTTCTCTCTCTTTTTTCTGGCAGATAGCCAGGCTAATAAATTTTTTTTTTAAACCAACACTATGAATTGAAAAGGCTTTCAAGAAACATCTGCACAGTGAAACTGTTAACTCCAAAGAAGTCCAACATCGTATTTATACTGTATAAATTAAGATGGAAAATAAAAACCCATTTGAGTCAATGTGCAAAATCTCCAAAGCAAGAGAAAAATACTTCTGAAGGCAATCCATTTTCCAAACGGTGGCATTAAATATGGAGGATGGAAGAGCAAAAAACAACTGAAATTTAGCACAGTGAAGCTTCAAACACTAGCTTCTGAAAATAATGTTAACCAAATTTCCCTTCACAGGCTCAAATTTTTGGAGAAAGAAATAAATCATTTTTAAAAACAGTCTCCTTTTGCTTGGATAAAATGATTTTTAGAGATGCTCAGCAAACACAGTAGTAGTGAATATCTACAGGTCAGTGGAGGAGGGCTGGTGTTCTGGATCATAATCATGATGAACTGAAAATGCTTGTGTAATCAAAAAATATATTCCTTTATTTATATGGAAGACAAGGAAGTGCTTTTAAAAATGGCCACATATTCAATGAATCTCTGGATTTGAACAGCCATCTAATGGATGGTTGGCCTGGCTTGCCATCTTTATGTGAATATCGACAACTCATCCCTCCGTCCACATGGTCTTGGTGTGATTGGCACACATTTGACTTACCCACTGACTTTATGGATGGCTAGAGGCCTGAACAAAATTCCTTCCTCAGAAATTTGGAATTGAGTAATTGAGTCTCTCTCCAAATGACAGGGCATGCAAATTCTAGAACTGTTAGTCACCATGTTTTCTATTTTGTGGGCCAAGATGCAGGAAAAAAAAAAAAAAAGGTCTACAGGGAGAGATAAGAATGAAGGGGGTACTGAGGATAATTGAGAGGGAGGGAACCTTCATGGTATCCAGGTGTGTGGTCCCAACTTGTCCTTGATGACTCTTGGATTCTAAGACAAAGCTCTGTAACCTCATTGTAAGCAATCACTTTGTTCAACCAAACCACTCTGATGGTTGCAATTAATTGCAACAGAAAGTCTCTTATGAAGAGACTTTTCAGGATACGTGGAGCCTACCTATTAATTTTTTTTTGTCTGTACCCCACCTTCCTCTGCTCCCAATTATCCTCTGCTTCCTATCATTAATCCAGATACTTAGGGTACGGGATATTTTATTTGATCTTTTAAACTGAATCTCTTGGCTTGTTGAGGGACAGTGGGTGTAACTTAGAAAATCCTCAAGGAATGCTTTAAGAAGTGACTTTTTGAAGTATCCAGGATCTTTAATTGATCTGAATGTGTAAATCAAGTTTTTACAATAGCAATACTCAACATTTGTTTCTTACAATATTAATTCTGAAAGCATTAAGGGAAAAAAGTGTTCTATAGTAAAGTAAGTTTTAGGAAAAATGCAAAAATACAGCTCTTCTTAAAGATTCATGGATCATGTGAACATACTAAAGGCCCTGACAAGTCCTGCAGTAACAAAGGCAATCTCTATATATTTAGCTCTGAATTTTCCAAATTTACAGCAGATTTATTTTCTTTTTTATTATTATTTTTTAGTCATACATGGGCACAGTATCTTTATATTGTTTATTTATTTTTATGTAGTACTGAGGATCGAACCCAGTGCCTCACATATGCGAGGCAAGCACCCTGCCACTGAGCCACAACTCCAGCCCCAGATTTATTTTCTTTGGACTAATCTTTATTTGCTACATTTTGAAATGTTACTTAAGATGTTTATTTAACTCTGCTTTACAACCAAATTGAGTTAGAAATTGGCCCACATTAGGAACTTTGATAGTGAAGACCCTGAAATCAACTTCAGACTCTTACCCTCCTACCTCATAGTCTTCAATTAATGAAGCCACTAATACAAAGGCTGAATAATGGTCCAGACATCCAGTTCTGTGGGAAAGACTACATTTTGGCCCCATTTGTAGCCCCTACATTTCCTAGAGTCCTGAGTTTATGCCTTCATTTTATGCCTTTTTCAAAATATAATACACATAAAGTAAAGGGCATAAATCACAGGTGTGCAGACGTAAATTTTGACAAACTGTTTCACACACTACTGCAACCTGAACCAGATCAAGAAATACTATTGGCTCTCAGAAACCCCTTCATGTTCTTTTTCAATGATCCCCCCGCCCTAATTCCCAAAAGATATCAACTGTCTGACTTTATGCCTTTTCCTCCAACCACATGGATTCATCCTGGAGGACAGAAAACAAGTCTTGATTTCTTTATATCCTCCATAGGATCTAGAATGGGATTTAGTGAATGAAGGCCAGTTAATTGTGCTCATCTTTAAACCACAGCTGCCTATCAGACTCCTAAATAGGGTTGTAGAAGGGCCCTGAAGTCAGTTACCTGGGTTCAAATCTGCCTCTAAGAATTATACCTGGTCTGACTATGGGCAATTGCTTGTCTTTATGTCAATTTCCTGACTCACAGAAAGAGAAAAATCTACTTTATGAGGATGTTGTGGGTATCAAGTGAAATACTGACAGCTCACTTGCAAATAAATGTTCAACATATTTCTCATATTTGTCACCCATAAATACTCTTTGGCATCCCCCATCCCCCTTTGTTAGACAAGGATGTCAACAGTGAAAATATCAGTTTCACCCTCAAATGTTGTGGAGGTGTGTGGGCAAGTATTTACTTGTAGGACTGGTGCCAGTTACTCCTTCAGCGCTGATCTTCCTGCTCATTGCTGAGGTAATGCAGGCCAAGGGGCCTCCATGGGTGATTGCTGGAAATAAGGTGAGGGCAGGAGAAGATGCTTTTGCTCTCATGGAAATGACTCTTCAAAGGAGAACCCAGAAAAAAGGGTGCGCGTGCACACCCACCAGCTATACTGTAGGCTACTCTAATTGAATTGGCTGCAGTTTTCAGTATTTCTTAACCCTATTTTGTCTGAACCAAGAAAGCAAAAACTTTTTAGGAGGACCTACTTACTCTAGGAAGCTGAGTACCTACAAATATTTTGCTCTGACATCTCTCTGTCCTATCATCACTATAATTCAGAATAAGCTTTCAAGTAGCTTGGAATCAACTGAGTGTAGGGAACAATTCATTTGTTCAGCAACTATGTCTTAGGCACTGCAGTAGGCGCCACATGGCCCCCTAAAGATCTTAAGACCCAATTCCTGGACATGTGATGTTACCTTCATGGAGCTTACATTCTGATGTGGAAGACAGACAACACACAGATAGATGCACAATCTAATGTCAGGTTGCCACGCGCGGTGTATACTAGAAATAAGGACGGGAGCCTAAAGGGGGCTGGAAGAATGGTCGGGAATAAGTTGGGCGCGCAGGAGGTGCGGTGCACAGTCAGCGGGGTGTAGGGGCTTCTATCTTACTCTCAGCTTGGCTTCGGGAGTTCTCGGTTTGGGTGGGAAGCAGCAGCGAGTGTGTCCCCAGGACGTGATGGGGGCAGGGGACAGGGGGCGGGGCCCTCTGGTCTGGCCCTGAAGTTGCTCTGAGACCACGTGAGATTTCTCCAGCTTCTCTAGCTTTCCACGTCCTTTAACTCAGGTTAGAATAACCAAAAATGCGTGTGGCTGTCGCTCTCAGGGCCAGCCAGCGGTGCTCACAACCCTTTCCGGGAGAGGAAGGAAGTGGCCGTCGGGCCCACCATGGCTCCTCCGGCCAGGCGGGCTTCCTTAGGCCCACTAGAGGAGGCCGGCAGGCTGCCGTTGCGGAATTGAAATGTTGAGACTGAAGGCGTGTTGTTTAAAAAAAAAAAAAACCTCTCCCTCACCGCCCGATCTGCTTCTAATTATGCCAGGGCCAGACTGCTAACCACACGCGCTTCCGGCCAATCCTAGAAGGCCCAGGCGCCTTCTCAACCTCCACGCACCAAGCCACGGGCCGCGAGCTGGGCG